TATACAAGAGGGCATCTATAGTGGGATCACACCATCAAGAACCCCCACACCCACACCCAACCCTGATGGAAGTATATAATCAATAATAAAATCTATACCAAAACCTTCAGCATGCCAATCCCAGCAGGAAGTCCCCAAAAGGAACAGTACGCAGAAGAGAAAAAGGCTGTTTCACTCCACCTCACCGAGAGAGAACATATCTGTTCTCCTTTCTCGGAATTCTCATGATATAGATACAGAACTCTTGAAGATACAGCTTTTATGTCCTCTCCCTCTCGTGAGCAACTATATTTTTGTTTCCGGGAAATATACAATTGAAGCGGAGTTGTCAGGCAAGAAATTTGCCATTGGGTGTGAATCTGGGTGTGGTGGTTCTTGATGGTGTGATCCCACTATAGATGCCCTCTTGTATATTTTGAACCCACCCTCAGTTTTATTATGTATTCATTCTCATTAAGTAACGGCTCAATAACGTATTTACCCTCAAATTTTGTAGATTAATCTTCCGACAGGTAACATACCCGCCCATATGTCATCTGCTAATAAAGATATCTTAGTTTACGTACCTGATATACCATCAGACATCGCTGACAGTGATGGTGAACAAATGGTCCAAACTCGCTTACAAAATACTCTTAGTATAGAGGTAAAGAAGGTGAAATGCTATTCAAAACTTGGTGTAGCTGTGATACAATTGACAAAGGAAGATCACAAAACACATTTGGTTTCAACTGTTTACTCAACTGTTCTCGATCCACATCGTAGCATAAATATATCATTTGTAAATAAGCTCGAACTTGATTCTTACATTGTATTTGATCGAAACGCATCCATATCAAAAATTCCTTCTTCTGAAAAGCTTGTCACCCATCTTGAGCAAGCCTACAAAAGTATAGAAAATCTCCTCTGTGAGCTAATTACTCCTCAAATTCCTAACATTTTTCATGTTACTTTCAATTCGCTTGATAACCTTGTCGAAGTTGCTAATTCATCAGATTTCCAGATCGACGGTACATTGGCCACTGTATATCCATGTGCAAATTGTAGTTTTTTGGAAAATCTACCACGAACTACTAACGATGACAAACTTCGATCGGCTGTTATTACTCAGAATGGTGGCAAAGAACTTTCAGCAACGTCATTATATATACAGCATAATAAAGACACTGGTGATGCAGTTATTTTGGTATCAAAGTCCGCCAAAACATGGCTAATGAACCAATCTTTAATAATCGATGGACAAAATATTCAGAAAAAAACAGCACTTACTTGTCGAGTCCTGGTCTCTCCTGTACCTCGTGGTTTTAACCTTGATCATATTTTTAATGACTCATTATTTGTGAACCGAGTTATCGGCCACAACCAGGTCAACGATACACTTATACTGGAACTCAATAATATGGATACTTACAAGAATGTCTTAGCACAGAAAGTGATCAAGATAGATAATAATAGTATGAAAATTAAACCATATACCATTGTTATTGATCCAGAAACCATGGAAATTGATGCTGAGAACTGGTATGAAACTGATATGCTCAAAATCGAACCTAATATAATGCCATTATTAAATGATCCTCAACATCCAATCTTCCATTATCAATGGAATGCTCGTAATTGGATTGAACAATTTCGAAAATTAGAATTACCAGAACAGCATTCGAAAACTTTTGATCTTCATCGACATTTACTACGAGTAACTGTCATGTTAAATACAATAGGAGTTCTTCGAAAACGACGTTATATGATTAATGATGAAGAAGTTTCATTAAAACCAGTACGCATGCAAACCATTGTTTACGATCATGCATCAAAACTATCGCGTGGAGTCAAAACGTCAGCTAGCAATTTAAAAATCCCATATGCATCAACATCTGTCAAAGTAGTTAATGAAGATTGTCTTATTATTTATCAGAAATTAGTTTCGGAAGGACATCGACCTTTATTACTAAACATGGCTAATCAAACGAATCCTGGAGGTGGTTATCGAAAAGGTGATGGAGCACAAGAAGAAAATCTTTTTCGTCGTTCAAATTACTATCAAAGTCTTGATATTGAAATAGCCGATAATGATGCATCAGAACGATTACATTGTGATGATAAATGTGAACTCGAACAAATATCAAAAGGTGATAGTTTCTATCCAATGAACGAATTTGGAGCAATTTACACGACTGGTATTACAGTATTCCGACAAACAGAAGTCAATGGTTATGTATTTATGAGAAATCCATTATACAATGTTTCTGCTCTTGCAATGGCTGCTCATCGAGAACCTAAATTGAAAAACAATAAAACATTAGAAAATAAATTTGCGGTTACGACACAAAAAAAAATTGAAAATATTTTTACTATTGCATATCATCATAAACATGATTGTCTTGTTTTATCAGCTTTTGGCTGTGGTGCTTTTAAGAATCCATCTGATCATATTGCTTCGATTTTTAAATCTGTTATATATCAATATGCTGGATTTTTCAATACTATTTATTTTGCTATTGTTGATGATCATAATACAGGTAATAAAACTAATCCACAAGGTAACTTACTTCCATTTCAAGAGATATTAGATGGTTTAATTGTACCATCACCAATAAATTTATGTATTGATGCTGCTATTGGATCAAATCGTATCATTGATAAATCAAATGATGAACAATTAATATTAAGTGATGTTTGTATTTTCGGTCTTCCACCTTGTCATCATGGTGCTAAATGTCGTGATCTTCGAAATTCTAAGCATAAAAGTCAATTTTCACATCCACCAATATGTCCACTTTCTAAAGCAACTTCTTCTTGTGAACAATTGAATGATGAAATTCATACATTTACATTTATACATAATACTCAATGCAAGTTGGCTGGTGAATGTAATGATACTAATCCAATACATTTCTTAGAATTTGATCATCCGGAATTTTGTGAATACGGTGGTGATTGTACAAATATGAGTAAGAAACATTTAATAGCTTATCGACATGTTTCTAATTGTCCCAAAGGTTTAAACTGTTTAAACTATCGAAAAAGAGATCATGATCATATAAAATCATTTCGTCATTGTAGACCTGTTTGTCCTTATGATAATTGTTGTATTAATTTTCATGATAAAGAACATTTTACTAATACAATACATTCATTTCAACCACCATGTCCATTAACACCGTACAATTGTTCAAAATATATTGAATTTATTCAAATGAGCAAATCAAATGAAATTTCTTTAGAAGCAGAAAGTCATTGTTTTCAATTTTCACATGCTTGCCCGTTTGGTCGTCAATGCAACAATATAGATGAAATTCATTTCGAAACATCGATTCATATTGCTCGTCAACTTTGTCCAGACGGCAATAAATGTTCAAAACTATCACAAGAAGATCATTTAGAATCATATTCTCATCCTGGTATACGAGATATTCGTCTATTATGTAAAATACCAGGTTACAAATGTTCGCTTAGATCAAATGATGAACATTTAAAAAAATATCGACATAACAAAAATCATGATCATTTTAGTACTGCCCCGTCTAGTAATCTTAATTCATCGATCAATTTTGCTCGTAATCAAAGTCACTTAATTAAAACGGTAAATATCTACATTGACAGATCGAACTGGAGTAAAGAGAAAATTTCTCCAGAAATACTTAATTGGATACGTGCATTACAACCTGTACATCGATGTCGAAAAGAGATTTTTGAATCGATTCTTGTTTTAGGACATGTTATGAGTCGTCATTATATGAATTTATTAGAAAAACAAGAAAATGTAGGTAGAGCAGTACAACAACATAGTCGAGTGCGTTTAATATTTTTGAAATATAATAATCCAGTAGTCAAAGAAAATGTGGGTAAACTCATTGAAATTTTAGTAGAAATTGAATTTGCAAAGGCAAACCTACATGGAAAACGTTCTGCAGATGCCGATTCTGAGCAAAAAATTTCTATGATGGAGAAAAGATTGCAACCACCTCTTGAAGGTAAAGATATTCAAGCTATTCATGAATGGACCACTAAAATTGCTAGAGCATCGATTGATTTAAGTACTAATAAAGCAGGTATTGGCTATGAAGTTGATCCGAAATTAGGAACTGATAAGCATGTGTTCAGTATCATGGGACCACATCTTGGCCATTATTATGGTGATATTGTTATAACTTTCAAACAAGAAATTATGTTTCACCCAGACGCTAATTTTACAATTCAAGCTGGAACTACTTTTTATAGTCAAAACATTTACAAACAACGTCTATGGATGAAAGATCCAGGAAACGAAACAAAACGTATTGAACATTTTCATCATTCAAAATTACATTGCTCTGTTCCTCGTTATGAATATGCAACAGCTCTAGAATTAGTTGCTTCGGTAGGATTAGAACATCAATCAATGAATGTTAATGTTGAAGCTATTCTTGAAAAATGGATAAGTGTAGATTCTCATCAAACGTTAGAAGGTCATTTACCACAACTCATTCCATTGGATTATGTTGATCGTGTTTACATACCAAAAAATGTATTCGAAGATCTTTCACCTGAAGCACGACAATCAGCGAAAGGAGCTTTTAAAGATTCACTTATAATAAGCATCTATGACAGTGATGAGAACAAACCAGGCGATACTCCAAAAGACATGCTTAATCATCCTTATTCAAAATACGTATTTGAAGAACTCTGTGCAGCTATCAAACAGCGCATGGATAGACCACATATTTCACGAGGTATAGTAATTACAGTTGGTGCTTCTGACTTCGCCGAACATATTGTTTTACCTATCAGTATTACTCAAGCACAGTATCTATATTATCTTGATAAACCTCAATCACCAGATGGTCCTGAATTTATCTATATTTATTGGCAAGCTATGGATGGTGATATGATGTTGACATTAACCAATGAAAAAATTGAGCCAGGTGGAGAACAATTCAATATGAAATGTCTCATTTGTTATATTGCGAAGAAACCATCGACAGTAACTGAAGAATTTCATGAAACGTTTACATATTTGAATGATGACCTACCCTATCAGCATGGTAATAATGTTAATGCAGTTCGACTTAAAGCTAAATCGAATACATTCTATCGTGGCTGTAATACTGATGATTATTTTACTTTTTGTTTAAAACTCAACTATAGAACAGGTCATGTAACACTTTCTCATGCAGGACCAAATAGTATTTATAATCATGAAAAAATTGAATATAAATTTAATAGAGCTGAGTTAGATCTATCCAAATTAGATTATATTCATTTAAGTGCTGGAACTCAAGATGTTCCTGTACGAAATTTAACAATAAATCTTGAACCAATCGCTGAACTTCACCCAATTGTAGATACACAATTCAAACGAGATACATCCAATCTACTTGAACGATATCTTGTTGCAACTGCTCACAATAATCCGGCTCCTCCTATTACTAATCGAGCAAAAAAACAACGACCATTAGCCATTAATCCACGATCAAATATAAACAACTCAGTTATCTTGGGTCGAATAGCAGATATAATTTGCTGTCGTCATACAAATGCAATAGAACCAATGGCATTAGATGATGCACGTCCCGCATTAACACCTTGTAGAGATTCCATATATTGTTTACAACGAAATTCATCGAAACACACTAAACAATTTTCTCATCCTTGTCCTTATTCTGAATTATGTAAAAGAAAAGCCAAAGAACCACATCTTACACATGAACGTCATAATGTTCTAAAATGTACGAAAGATAAATATTGTTCGGAAAAAATTAATCCTATTCATCGTGCAAATTATCGCCACACAAATCTTCCTGATTATCTTAGTCTATGCCGTAAACAGAGTAATTGTCAAGATACATCATTGAAACATCGAATAAAATATTTTCATGGTGAAACCTTGCCGTTAATCAAAAGTAAATCAATGTGTCATTAATTATGTAATAATTTATTTCTATTTTTTTTTTCTTTAGAAAAATAATCACTGAAATATTTGTAATCAAAAACGTCTGACGAAGATCAATAACATTGAACTAAATTTTTTTATTTTATTTTATGAAAAGAAAAAACTGATAGCTAATCAACAATAAAATAATTCATGCAAGATTATGGAGTTTTTGCCTAGGGGGTTTCATCCGATGGTTTTGACTCGATAATATGCGTTTAGATGATTTTCATTACCCTCTCGAACATAGCCAGTAAATGAAAGAAGCCAATGTTAATAGCTTTGAAAAGAAAATAATTTTAAGCAGAAAAGTGCCACAAGTATAAATAGAATAAAATTTTTCGATGCTAAAATCTGTCTAAAAGTGTAGATTCTTATTTCTCAGAAGGCTAGGAGGTAAAAGCGATAAAATTTACATATATCTAATAATGTAAACTTTAACCATAGGTCGAAATGGGGTGAGACGAACAGTAAAAAGTCCGTCCGGTTTCGGGTGTGGGTGGGTGTGGGTGTGAGTGTGAGTGTGGGTGTGGGTGTGGATGTGGGTGTGGGTGTGGGTGTGGGTGTGGGTGTGAGTGTGGGTGTGGGTGTGGGTGTGAGTGTGGGTGTGGGTGTGGGTGTGGGTGTGGGTGTGAGTGTGGGTGTGGGTGTGGGTGTCGGTCTTCTCTTCAGCCACCCACACCCCTGCATGCACATCA